CCTACTATGCGCTGGGAGTCACTACAGAGAGGTGAGTAAAGCCAGTCACCAGTTGTCCCCAGCCCAGTGGAGAAGGACATGGAACCCACAGGCTTGCTCCCAAGGCAAAGCGAAATAAGCACAGGCTTGAGGGCTTGGACTACTCAAGCCAACAAGTAGCATAAGAGTAAGGCAGGGTAGTGGATCACATCTTCCCTCCCCGCCTCCCCAAGGGCAGTAGGGACAGGAAGGAACCTGGATAGAGAGGAAGAAACAGAGTAAGTACAGGAGTGGACTGAGGTGTCAGGAACAATGTGAGAGGCTACACCGCGGAGATGCCCCAGGGGCTGCCCCTAGTGCCCAAGATGGGCATCTCCTCCCCTCCCCCATGTTGCCTGACTCCAGCCTCACTTTTCATTAAGAGAGGTCAGATATTCCTGGGTTGTCATCTCCTGCTGCATCTTAATGTTGCACTCGTGGGACATGTGGAAGCTGCTTCCCATTTTTATTTTGAGTAATTGTGCTGTGTCGCCTTTAATTCTGAGTTGTCCTGTTGCAATTTTTCACCTAGAAAGAGAGAAGGTCATACTGGAGCTGACTCAGTGCACTTTCTCTAGAACACCCTTCCTTTCAAGGCTCCCTTCCCTGCCCTCCCTCTGAGCCATCCAGCAAAGGCTGCCTGCCCAGGCATCAGCATCCTGGCTCAGTCACAATTGGAACTAATGTCTACAGAATACTGCTTCTGAGTCAGGCATTGAAATAAATGATTAATGTCATTTTTGGGGGGTGGGGGGTGGTCCGGTTGTGGGGCCTGAACTCTGGGCCTGGGCGCTGTCCCTCAGCTCTTCAGCTCAAGGCTAGCACTCTACCACTTGAGCCACAGCGCCACTTCCAGCTTTTTTCTTTTTGCTTATGTGGTGCTGAGAATCAAACCAAGGGCTCCATGCATGCAAGGCAAGCGCTCTACCACTGAGCCACCTTCCCAGCCCATGTCATTTATTTTACAAGTCTTCTAGAGTTGACAAGATGAGGACACTGGAAGTTAAAGCAACTTGTCCAGAGTTCAGCGGCTAGTCAGTAGCAGAGTGGGCTTCAAAACCAGGTAGCTCTGGCTCTGAAGTCTGCAAACCTCCTTAGCTGTTAAGCCAACCATCCACCTCCTTGTTTAACTGTGGTTGACTGGGGTTTGAACTCAGGGCCTTGCACATGCCATATCTCCAGCTCTTTTTGTGTACCAGTTATTTTGAGTAGGATCTCCTTTTTAGCCAGGCCTGCACTTGAACTCGGGGCCTAGCCACTATTCCTTAGCTTTTTTACTCAAGACTGGCATTCTACCATTTAAGCAACAGCTCCACTTTAGGTTTTTTTGTGGTTCATTAGAGATAAGAGTCTCACAGACTTCCCTGCCTGGGCTTTGAAACTTTATCTTCAGATCTCAGCCTCCTGAGTAGCTAGGATTACAGGCGTGAGCCATTGGCACCTGGCATTTTTGTTGTTGTTATTTTTTGGTCTGTCTTAGAGCTTGAACTCGGAGCCTGGGTCCTATCCCTGAACTTTTCCAGCTCACAGCTGGTACTCTACCAATTGAGACATACCTCCACTTCCAGCAACTTGATGGTTAATTGGAGCAGAGCAACTCTTAAGTTTGTCTTCCTGGGATGGCTTTGAAGCCCAATTCCCAGATCTTAGCTAAGAGATTATAGGTGTAAGTAGTTAGGATTCTAAGCCCAAGCCACTGGTGCCCAGCAGACAGTATTTTTATGCTTCCTCCATAACTGGGACAAGTGCTTACTACTACTCCATTGAGATAGAGTCTCTCTGATTTTTCTGCTTGGGCTGGAGTAGAACCTCAATTCTCCTGATCTCAGCCTCCCAAGTAGCTAGGATTATAAGCATGAACCATCAGTACCTGGCTTCCATTCCTCCATTTAAATGACAAGCATAGAAATACATGAGGGCTAGCCAATCTAAGAGAAATTAAGGGAAAAGATGAAAATGAAGACTAGGAATAAATAAATAAATGTAGGAATATGGAAGATGGAAAAGGAAGACTATGTAGGAATAAATAAATAAATCTGCACTTCTTCCTCGCCTATTCTGACATAGCTCTTCTGTACATTTCTTAAATGGAGGTACATGTGTACAGACTGGTTGGCTTGGATGATAAGGAGTGGGGAATGAAATAGAGCAGAAGTAGCAAGGCCTCCTGGCTGGCCATCTTTCACTTACCTTTTTTTTTTTTTGGGTCCAGTCGTGGGGCCTGAACTCTGGGCCTGGGCGCTGTCCCTCAGCTCTTCAGCTCAAGGCTAGCGCTCTACCACTTGAGCCACAGCGCCACTTCCGGCTTTTTTCTTTTTGCTTATGTGGTGCTGAGGAATCGAACCCAGGGCCTCGAGCATGCAAGGCAAGTGCTCTACCACTGAGCCACCTTCCCAGCCCCTCTTTCACTTATCTTATACTCACCTGTGAACCCATTATCTACAGTATCAGAAGGCCCTTGACCCTCTTCTCCCTCCAATATGTCCCATACAGTGTGGCCTGTCCTGCAGTATTGCCACCCTCAGACTGTCCTTTTTCCCTTCACCAAATCTGTCACCATCAATCACATCCTCTTGAACCAGAGCTCTGAGACTTCCTCAGATATGCTGCTGTACATTGTGCCTGGACCAACCAGGAAAAAAAAAAAAAAAAAAGCTAGTTTGCAGAAGAAGGGTATTGGCACAGGTTTTTTTTAATGTACTTTTAGCAGCCTTGGGTCAAAGAAAGTTTCCAGGACACTCAGAATCTGAAATGGTTCACCTTCCTTGTTTACAGCCAAGTGAGGCAGCCATGACATGGTAAGGAAGAGTGAACCTACAGATCCCAGACTCTCCTCCTTCCGCTATGGAGCCCAGCAGGACCAAAGATGGAGGAAAGATTGCCCCACACAGGAAACATGAGACCCGCTTTCTCCATCTCCCAGAGCAGAGTTGTTTCCTTGTTCTGGGGGGATGCGGGCTGGAAAGACAGGCTTACTATCCCCCAGACAGATTCTCACTCATGTTGAACACAAGAACCAGGAAGGAATGTGAACTTGGCTGCCAGACTTCACACTGTCTGCCCCACCTGGCCTTCCTCCTTTGCTATATTCTACCCATTTCCCAAAGAGCCTGTGCTGTCAGACTCAGAAGGGAACAAAAGCTTCCTAAGCTCCAGTTCCCCATCCTACCTCTTGCTACCTTATTCCAAGGCCCTTATTCCAGTCCACACACCTACCTTACCCACTGCTCTTTTCTCTTTCCTACCCCCCACCACAGTGGCCAACTCTCAACTCTCTCCTAGCCTAAGAACTGTAGGTGTCTGAAAAGACAGTACCCAGGACCAAAGACCCATCAAAAAGGCCACTTACCTCCTCTATCCTCAGCTGCTCAGAAATGGATGTTATTGGAGTCATATCTCCATAGTTCCTGGCCTCTGGGTCTGAGGAAGCTATGGTCTGAAAGTTCTCCAGGGAGAGTGTTTGTAAAGGCGAGGTAGGACGTTTTACCTTTCAGGCTAGATATGCTACCTTATGGCTAGGTAGAGACAGGTATATTCATTCTTTATGGGCTCAAAGAATAAAATGAGAGATCTAATATATAGCCAAATGAGTCTGGGTCAGAGTGTTGCACAGACACATGGGCCATGTAATTTATTGAGCTGGAATAAAGAAATGAACTATAAGTGGGATCAACCAAGCAATGACCATGGCTGTGCCAGGTATGAGTGACTTTAGAACCAGGTCCCCAAATGTCACACTAGGGGACACAGCAGTTAAGACCCAAAACCACTGCTGCTAACATCTGTAGGCAACAGGCTGGACCAGAAAGAGGACAGCACCTAAACTCTCTATCCTCCTCTGGTAAGCAGAGCATCTGTTCCTACCCTTCAGACATAACCAGCCCAGCTTGTCTTCTGTCTTTACATCTTTCTCTTCTGGAAGAATATTGCTATGATGATTGTGATGGTAACAGTGACAGCTACCACATACTGTGTTGACTATGTGGCAAACACTGTGCTGATGCTCCCAATAACATCAGTGAAGGGAGTATGAAGAAACTGACACTGAGGAGTAACTTGATATGGTCACATTTCCAGTAAGTGGCAGAGCTGGGATTTGAACAAAGGTTACTGTTGATGTGTTCTGTACCTTACCCTGACTACTCTTGAAGGCACTCCCACAGAAGCCAGTGACACATCCCATTTTCAGGACTGAGCTATGGTTCTCTCCTCCCAAAGCTATGTAGGCCCCCACTTGGGAGGGGAGCAGTGGCTGGACTTAGGCAAAGTTCCCACACTCAGCTTGACAGCCCTCTCCCCCCACCACACATGCTCTAAGGATGCTGTGAAGCCGGACAAGGCTAGAGTGGTCAGGCTGCTGGGAGAAGCTCTTCCTGCCAGCCTGGACTTTGTACCTGTCCTAAGAACCTCAGATAAAACTGTACAGAACACTTGAGAGGCAATGTCCTCAGAAGATAAGGATTCCTTCACTATAGGTCTCCTCTCTCTCCTAGCACTGTAAGCATCAAAAAGTTCTGGGGTATCTCTTGGCCTCCCACTCATGTACATAGCAGCTCTTCCTGCCAACCTGAGACCTTCATACCTGCCCTAGGAGTGGCAGACCATACTGCACAGAACACCCTAAAAGGCCAGTGTCCACGAGAGACAAGGACTTCACCATTATGGGGTTTCTCCTCCTGGCATTTGTGAGCCTCAAGAAGTCCTGGAGACCATCTCTTCCTCCCACTCATGCTCCTGGTTGGGGAAACTCCTTCCCTGGCCATCAATTCCCACCTCCCTACCCCTACCCATCAAGCCAAAAGCCCAAGACGTACTGAGGAGCAGCCAGGCAAACACAGAATTCTGCTGACTTGCTAAGGTCTTGGCCGGCTCCCTCAAGCCCCACTGGGCTACTGCTAGGTCACTTAAGACCAGCAGTCCTAGAGTCCCCATACTACGCTCTCCCTCAGGGCCCTTCAGGAAGCAGAGGCCAGACACAGGGGGAAACAGGAACCCATGGTCCTTTATTTGCATTTCTTAGAATACTGTACAAAGGGAGTAAAAATCCTATTCACACTTTGCTTAGAAAGATTGTTGAGGTGAAAGTTCCCTATGATACATGGGGTGGGAGTGGAAGGCCTGTAGGCAGAAAGTAGGGCAAGCAAACCTCTCTCCTTCCTCAGCCCACAGGAGAGGGCTCAGGCCACACCCTTTCAAAGAAACACCTCCCCAGTAGGACTGGGGAAGCAGGGGGCACCCCTCTAGCCTCTTCTCAGGCTGAAGAGACTTCTGTCTGCAGACACTCCCTGTCCCTTCCATTGCCCTGCTTGGCAGGGGTACTGTAGGACCTTGCAGCCACCAACCTCATGTGGGGGCCCCCCACGTGCGTGCCACATGAGGGGCCTTGCCCCAGCACTGGTCTACAGGAGGTCTCAATGTTGGGGTGGAAGAGCCCCAGCAATGGCCGTTTCTGTCACAGCTTTCTCACACCAACCCCCTCACATTGCTGCAGAGGGTGGTGTCAAACCAGACCTGTGTTTATACTGCCTCCTCCACCCATGTTCTCCCCCATGCCAACCCAGGAGCTTCAAGCACAAAGCAGCCTCCCTTCCCTAGCCCCATCACCATTCTGTGGGTGTACTAACTAGCCCTCCAAGCCAGCTCCCTTCCCTGCCCACATCAGAAAGGAAGTTGTATTCTTGCTTCTGCCTGTCCCCCCCCCCCCCCCCCCCCCCCCCCCCCCCCCCACACCACCAGCACTGCCACCTCTTTACACCCGCCTGCATGGGCTGCTGCTGTTGTAGCTCAACTCACTGTCTCCAACCTCCACCAGGACCAGCATGGCAGAGCCTATACCCCCCCCACCCCACCTTTTCTCTCCTCACCCTCCCCACTCTCAACCCATACCCAGGGTGGGGTGCAAGGGAGTCACCAAAACTGAGCCTTGGATCAGACAACTCTCTACCCAGCGGGGTGAGGTGTCATCACACACTTGCTTTGTTATGTACAAAACAGAGTGTTCCCCCTCACAGACCAAAGAACTGAAGGGGAACAATCTAGAAGCTGTACCGTCCCTCTGCTCCCATACAGGGGTTAAAGTGCTTTGCCACCTGAGGGTAAACAAGTGAACAAGGGTCTCTCTGGCCTGTCCCAACCACACAGGTCCACATTACCTGGGAGCCCAGCCCCTTCCACGACCACCCCATGGAGTCTCTACTCAAAAGGCAAAAAGGAAAAGATCAAAAAAATCTGAATGGGTTGGAGCCCAGGGGCCCACCCCCAACCACACTACAAGCTACTCCAAGTTGGCTACTGGGGATACAGAGAGCCAGGCCCAGGGCATGACCCCATCTCCGGTCGTGTCCAGAGGCTCCTGTCTTCAGCATCACAGCAAAGGCTTTCCACCCCTCCCCTGCCGTCACAGGCTAGGGAAGGGGCTGCACCCTCAGTACTTATTGATTCCAAAAATCCGGACTCCGTGGAGCTGGGGCAGCTTGGGGATGAGCACGCTCATCAAGGACACTGTGTTGAGGATGAAATGAATGTGGTCGTACTTGGTGTAGAAGCTGGTAAGGAAGTACCTGGGAGGAGAAGACAGGGCAAGATCAAACACTGGAGAGCCCCTTCCTCTCTCCCCAAATCCTGAGAGCTGAGAAGGGATGGCAAGGGGACCCAGATCAGAAGTAGGGTGGCAAGATGTCCCGGGCTGACTAGGCCCCTCCTGACCCAGCCCACCTCACTTCAGGCCTCATTCAAGGGGAAAGCACCAGTGGAAGGAAGACAGGACCAGGGAGGCCCAAGGACTGGGGCTAGTGTTAAGACCCAGGGATCCATCACTTCCTTGTTCCTCTGTTCATCTCTAAACCAAAGGCCAGAGCCTGGGGCAGGGGTTGGGGGGAAGGAGGAGGGAACTAGCTGGGCCCAGACTTCCCAGAGTTGCTTCGCCTGCTGTCTCCCTCCAGCAGAAGTACTCACAGCACAATGGGTGTGATGGTCAAGAACTTTCGAGAGGCAGTGAACTGGACCCCATAGTCCATCTGCTCCCAGTGGGTTAACAATCTTGCTTTACCCTGGTCCGGAGTCTCAAAGGGTGTGCCTTTCACTGTGTGCAGGAAGATGTACATGCCCTGGAAAGAGGGGCTCTGGTCAGAAGACACAACAGGCAAAAGTCCCCAGCTCAGTTCTTCCCTATCAGGCAGAGGGGGATGTTGGCAGATGAGCATGATGGAGCAGCAGGGAGCCTGGGACAAGAACAAGGGGACCCAGGGGAAGAGGCAGGCCTGGCACGAGATCACATGGGGAGGAGTTGGTGGCAGTATCTCCAATGGAGACACTCCAGCCCAACTGGAGTTTCCAGCCAGCCTCCTGCCAGTCCCAAGGGACAAGGACTAGACCCCTGCCTGCCCACCAACAGAGGACTAGGCAGCAAGTGGAAAGAATGCACCAAAGGGTACAAGTGGGAGTCTAACTTAGGAAAGAAGACTTTCAGCAACAGGCTGGGCACCAGGCTTCCTGGGTCCCCAGGAACACGGGAGCAAGGGTTCAGTTCTCTGTTGGGAACTCAAGTCCTCCCAGATCTACAGCCACCCCAGCCTGGAGACACAGACAAATCTGCACATTGGATTCTTCCTGGAGCTATGCACAGGGCTGGAGCTCAGGAGGGGGATAGGGCAGAGAGACAGGAGCCGGGCTCTGGTGACAGATGTTCTCAGGACACCGCCCTGCTATCTAGCCCACGTCTGGCAGACCTCCCCTATCCCTCAGCCCTGGCTGCAGGCAGCATCTCACCATGTTGTGGATGAGGTTGGTGAGGGTCCAGACGACAGGGACACTCACGAAGGGGATGCTGAGCAGTACGACGTGGAGGAGCCCGATGGCCAGGACGTAGGAGAGCCAGATGCCGCGGCTGTTCATCACTCGCGTGTTGGGGTTCACCTCGCTGTGCGCTGTACCCACATTCATCCTGCCACCCCTCTCTGATGCTTGCTCTGCAAACAAGCAGCACAGGTGAGACAGGTCACACTACTTTTCCCGCTCCTCACACCCTCTAGTGCCCTAGAACTCCATACAGTCCACTGCATTGATTCTCAAACATGGAAGCTAAAGTCCACAAGATTTTCCACAGCTGAGCTGTGTTAACACCGGGCTGGCCCATGTGTCAACCCATCAGAACACTGCACCCACAGTATAGTTCATCAAGGAATTTAGCCCCAGAGCAGAGCAATCAATGCACACTCCCCAATCTCACCCTCGATATCATTTCTATAGGGACCTCTTCCTGCTAGGAAGGGGAGAAGAGGCTTGCTCCCCCTAAGATTCTCACTGAGCACAAACCCTGCTGTCTCTATCTCACTAAGGACCTGATAGAAGACATCTCCCCCAAGCCCCTCCTATAAGAAGTAAAAGGAGATGAGGCCTGTGTGTACAGGCAGCAGTAGGTGAAATACTTTGAGGTCCCTATGTCCACTCACCTCCAGTTCTTCAAGCCTGGATCTCCCCAAACCTCAGCCAGGAAGACTGACAAGGCAGAAAGGGAAGAAAAAACAGCAGACCAAGGACAACCTTTGCTCAGACTAGAAGGCTCCTTTTTGACATGGCTAAACTCAACTGGATGTTTGTTTTATCCATTTGGCAGCCACTCAGACTAACCCTTGGGATGTTATCCATTCTGCTGCCAAATTACCAGAGCCCTTTACCCTACCAAAGAAAAGAGAAGAAGTCAGGAGACAGTGATTCACGCCTATAATCCTAGCTACTAGGAGGCTGAGATCTCAGGATCTCAGATTCGAAGCTAGCCTGGGCAGGAAAGTCTATGAGACACTTACCTCCAATTAACCACCAGAAAATGAGAAGTGGTACTGTGGCTCAAAGTGGCAGAATGCTAGCCTTGAGTGAAAAAGCTCAGGGTCAATGCCCCAAGCCCTGATTCCAAGCCCCACAACAGACAAAAAAAAAAAAAGTGGGAGGGACCAACAGAGCACATGGCCAAAAGCTACAGCTTCCAGGAAGGGTGTGAGACACATCAACCCCTCGCAAGGATACAAAAATCATACCTGTGGCCTCTCTCCTACCACCTCCTTTCCGGTCCCACCACACATCTCAGCACCTGTTTATAAGTGTGAGTTATAGCACCATAACTTCTCCTGCCCAGTTCCAATGGTAGAAAGCCTGCAGGAGGAACCAAAGGAGCTGCTCTAAATGCCCAGGAAACAATGGAGGCGACAATTCAGAGTGGGCAGAGACAGTAAGGAGGGAATGATCTGCCCGTCTTGACTGTTCTCAAATTCCCTGGGGGTCCAGTGGCCAATAGAGATTAGATGAGAACAGATTGCACTGTGTAGTGGCTTACCTCTGTCCCGATTGCTAAAGGCCCTAAAGATTGTCAGCATGAAAAAAGCCCTTTCACCACTGAGAAAGGAGTCTCAGATGAAGATATTCTGGAAGTGCCAAAAATGCCTCTCCTTTACTACCACGGTGGCCAACCCCCTCAGAAGCTGCTAGTCTTGAACTAGGATTCCAGCCAAGCCTCCATAAGCATGAGAATTCTCATGGGTCAGTCCCTTATTTATAGGATAATGAGAATGCATTTCCTCTTCTCAGACAGCTCGAAGCCTAGAGATCCCCAGGAAATATGAGCCACAACAGGCAAACAGATAGGAGCTGGCCTGGAGTGCACCCTGGTGGAAGTAAGGCTCCTGGGGCCCATCACCTAGCCCATTAAGTTGGATAATTGGTCCTAACAGAAACTCAAGGAACTAGAAGTGTCAGATGTTTACCTTCCCAGGGCCTTGGGGTTTCAGTTACCCTGACACAGCCCCTGGGACACCTACTACGTAAAAACTAGGGGCAGAGCTGGGGGTTGTGTCTGGCTGAGAAGTGAGTTCTGAAAAACCACTAAGGAAAGGCAAAGAGCACCCTAAATCTCACCAGAAACTGCTGCCCTGAGAGTATAGGTGCAGACCTATATCCTCCCTAACACTTTGTCCAAGACAGCCAAAAGCCTGGCTGAATCTCAGACCACAAGACCTCACACCCCTTTTTGACTGTGACATGCAAAATAAATAAATAAATATGAAAAGTCCAGGGTAAAGAGGAAGATGGTAGCTCATGACTGTAATCTTAGCTACTCAGGAAGCTTAAAATCTGAAGGGCTGAGGTTCAAGGCTGGCTCAGGCTCCATCTCCAAATTAGCAAAACACTGGGCTGAAGGCAAGGCTCAAGTGGTAATGCCAGCTGAGCAAACAAGCTGAGCAAGCTTGAGGCCCTGAGTTCACACCCTGGTACCTAATTTGAAGAAGAAAAAAATAAGTAAAAGGGAGCTACAAAGGCCATAGCTCACTCTGGGAAATTCTCCTTAATGCCTAAACACTTCCCTGAGAATATCCTAGGAGACCCTCCCTTTAAACGATCTAAAAACAGGAAAGGACTGGGAGAAGCACTCTTGAGACATCCAAGGGGCTATGTGTACAAGCCACTTCCATTAGTAATCCATTGACCCTTCCACCAGAATTGGAGACATAGGCAGAATAGGCTGGCAGAGGCAGATGGGTCCCCAGGCGGCTTGAGACTGAAAAGTTTTGCTGTCACGGCGGGCAGGTGGCTGCTCGTACCAGGACCCGATGTGGTTTCATAACCTGCCTACAACCAGAGCCTGCAGCAACTCCGTTAACCACTTTTTTGCTGGCAGCTCTTACCCCAGCCCTCCTCTTGGAATCCACACACAAATTTCTAGTCCATCAAACACTCAGGCCAAGGCCAAAGTACACCTCGGGGTAGCCACCAGGTGAGTAGGTCCCATTTCCTCCTCCCAAGTTAAGGACGGTCCTTTAACGCAGTAAATCTCCAGCCTCTGGGTGATGAGCACAACCATGCGGGTTAATCCTGCTCCGCACCCCCCTCCAGTAGGGACCCCCCCCCACACACACACGGGAGAGTTAGTGGCCCGCAGGGTTTCTTATGCTCCAACTCCACCCCCCCTCTGCCCCACCAACCGCTCAGTCTGCGGGACCACACATAGCTCACCAGCCTCCCGGACCCAGAGGGGGTAGGAAGGGAAAGAAAGCCAACTCTCACTAGCTCGCCCGCTGGGAAGAAAGAGGGGGCGGAGTCTTCACTATTGTTGGGGTTAGAGTGAGACCTCCGGCCGGGGAAGGGGTTGTGAGGCTCCCGTTCAACTCCCCAAGCACTCTGGAGCCTGGCTAGGTCCGGGGCCCAACCCTCAGATCCACGCGTTCACCCTGCCCCGGAGGCAACCAAACCTTTATTCCACTCCCCACACCCCAAAGTCCGGCCGCTCCCCGCCCCTACTCCCAGCCGACGCTCGCCGCACGCGCGGCGTCCCGCCCCCCGGCCTCCAGCGACCACTCTCCTCCACCCGCACCTCCCGGGGCCGATGCACCCCTCCACCGCCAATCACCCCGCCCAGGGCTCCTCCAGCCCCGGGGCGCCTCCCCACAAGCCCCCCATCTCCTCTCCCACCCCTCCTCAAACCCTGGGGCTTCCCAATCCCGCCACTCCAAGGCGGCCTGTCCCGACTCACAGGGTCCGAAGGTCGAAGGCCCAAGAGGGATACCAGGGAACCGAAGCTGCGGCTTCTCCAGCCGCGGTAACAACCAGCGGCGGCAGCCACCCCGCTGGCAGCTCCGGCCGAATCAGCGCCCGGCGCCTGTGCCCGCCCCTGTGACGTCACCGCCACGCGCCGGCGGCGCGGCTCCTCCTGGGAGTTGTAGTTTCTCCGCTGCCTCTGTAGTTACCACCTCCCCCACCCGGCGCCCTCCAGCAAAAGTTGTAGGTTTCTCTCCCTGCGCGCCCTCGAGCTACAGAGCTGTCCTCGCTGTGGCCTCACAGCGGAGCATTTCCCCGTCACTTGATAGTGAGATCAGATGGTATCACTTAGTGCATAACAATTCCAGCTTTTGCCTCTCCGCTTTGCAGGTGTGGTTTTACCCTTGCCAAGATTTTGCAAGTGAGGAAATTCAAGAGTTTTAAGTAACTTAAAGTAGATCCTTGTTGGGATACACTGACACCCCCCTCCTCACCCTCACCCCCGTGCAAAGGTTTAACCACAACGCCTCACTGCTTGAGCCTTGGCCCCAGAGTGGTTCCTCCAGAAACCGACCGCTCCAGCCCTTTACTCTGCTGGAACCTCCTGGGATCAGATTTCCTGGACGCTGGCAGGGGTGAAGGTCTGGAGGGCAGTGAAGAGAGCCTGTACGCACGCAGCACTGGTCCAGAACCTGGTCACACCTACTCCCAGCTTCTTCCTGATCAGATTAAGGCAGAAGAAGGCTATATGTCATGGAAAGATTTCTTGATGAACAGTTAAGAGCCTGAGCTGCTGTCTCTGATCAGTGTATGTGGTTTTATAAAGGTGGGCGATGCTGGGTCACCAGATTTCACAGCTGGGTGCTCCAAAGGCAAGGGCACAGATTTTACTGCCAGGCAGGCATAACGTTGACACTCCTTGATTGGTAGTGTGACCCTGGGCACACTATTCTTCATCTCCAGTTCCACACTTAAGACATCCTACCAGTAAGGTGTAGTGAGAATTCAAAACAATGCACGTAAAGCCCCTATTACATAGTAGGAAGTTGCTGAACTAAATAGCTCTTAAGGTCTCCTAAGTCACTCCTACTCTCTCCACTTTAACCAGAGGGCGTCCTCTGGATAGTTTCCACTTCCCCGCCCAACTTCTATGTCTATGTTATGCATGGCCCGGCTGGAATAGCAGGATCTGATGATGTCATGGATGTTGACCTGGCTAGCCATTAATGTACCTTGAACTGAATGTACAGAGGCAGAAAGAAGGCTAGCCCAGGCAAGCTGGTGAACACTTCTTTCAGACCACCCCCCCTCATCCTGAGGGGGCTGCCAAGAAACAGTTTTCACAAAGAGTGAGTCTTGGGAAGTATCTAGTGGGCACCAATCAGGTATTTGCGTGTCCTGGAGCTGCCAAGAGTTTCTCAACTATTTCCCAGGCCATTGGCCCAGGAGTCCCAAGATCTAACTACTGAGGCCAGCTGAAAAGGCCCAGACCCATGTCCCCTAGAAGTGTGTCCTGAGTAGGAAGTTCCTTGTAATCAGCCTTCTTCAGTCAGAAGTAGACAACCTGAGTGATTTGTTTACAAAAAGCTGCACAGCATTGAGGTAAAAAAGACAACTCTATATTTTCCAAAGTGCACCTGCTTGAGTCCTTTTTCTATTCTCCAGGATTCTTCCATCTTCCACCAAGTTGGTTACACTCTGGCTCTTTGCCAGCTTCCCCACAGCTCTGAGAAACTCAATGACCAGACAGGGCCCATGTTTCAACAAGACTGATTAATATAGAGTCTAACGGAAAGGTCACTGGATAAGTCATGGCCTATTCATAACTGGTGTTATGAAGATAGTGTTGTGTTTTATTGTTTTTTTGGACAATGAGAATGAACAAAATTCTGACTCACCCTGGGCTTATGACAAGTTGTCAGTCACATTCTGCTTTATTTAGCTAGAGGCCCTTTCATGATCTTTCCTCTTCTCTAACTCTTTGCTTTTATAATTACCATGTCTTCACCAAACATCCATCAGCTGTGACTAGGCCTGAACACCATTCTAGATGAGTGACAGCAGTCTTGCATAGTGCCAGGAAAGACACAACCACTTAGACAAGCAAGTGGCTTTATGTCCCAAGAAGCTGAAAAATTGTTGGTGCCTAGAAGCCATGATCATGCTTGGTAGGGCATTCGAAGGAAGCCATTCGTGTACAGGAAAA